AATAAATTAATATTGTAATGCTGCTGTGCGTGAAAAGACGATGTTTATGTTCTCATAGAAGAATAAAAAAAAAAAAAGTGGAATGAATCCTTTTAATTTTACCTCTTTTTGTGACTGTTTATCCTCAGGTTCTACTTTATGTCTTCGAGAACTTTTACAACAGGAATAGTTGCCTAAACCCCCTGCAATTACTTTAGGAATCTATTTAAATATTACCTAGACGGTCGTAATTTGTCTGGGCCATATAGCGATGGTGCTCTAAGGTTTGTCGGCTTTTGTTCAGTTTTATGACTTGCTAGTATATCTGGATTGTTGCTGTCTTGAACGAGTGGTTTCAGTTGACTGAGGAACTGCATAGACTGAGGAAGCAAATTACTATTTCTTGAGGGTAGGGAAACGATATATTTCTTCTCCTTTTTTCTTTTTTTTTTTTTTTTCTTCTTTTTGTTAATCGAACACCTACAAGTGTGCGGAGATCTTTAACTCCAGAGGACGTTGACAAAATTCTAGCTTTATCTCAGGGCTGAGAAGAAACCGTAAAGGTGAGATCATGGTTGGGGGGGGGAGACCCCAGCCTCGCCTCCCTGCCAGCGGGCCCCTCCAGACAAGCCTATTCCCTACCTGGCTGCATGTGGAAGAGCTTATTTTTTTTTTTTTTTTCTTTCCCCCTTTTTTTTTTTTTTTTTTTTTTTTTTTTTTTTTTTCCCTCATCCTCTCCTCCTTGCTGCATGTTTAGCTAATAGGGTCTTGCACAAAGGGAACGCAAAAGGAAGGCTGGAAGAAAAGAGACAGCTAATGCTTCCTTGCAAGGGTATACGTATGCCGGGAGGAGGGGGGGACAGACTTTGAACCCGGGCTTCTTGGGAGCCGCTAGCTTTTCGTGATGTAACATTGTCGTGCACGGCCCTTTTTTCCCCGATTACATCTGCATGGAAAGGCGAAAGCTGCCCGCGCGCGTGTGTGTGGGTGGTTGTTATTATATTTTACTCTTGTTTTCATTAACCCACCCGAGGCTGGCCGGGGGGCGCGGAGGGGCGCCGGCGGGGTGGGCGGGA